ATTTTGGTGGTATTACGTGGAAGGAAGGATCACATATTCTTTTGTGTCTACCTGCGAAGTTTGATTTTTCATTTAATTAGCTTCTCTAGAGAGGAGATGTGAACACCTTTGATAATCAGATAATCCCAGCTAAGCAAATGCTAGTGTATCTGTCCCGACCCACCTACAGCGGCTCGTAGGGCCGCTGGTATAGATACATTATCGTAAATCCTGCGTTTCATTTGCACTGCGATTACCGCATTCGCGGTTTGGAGCCTCTGTTCGCAGTGTCATTTAGTGCCGCATGCATTAACATCCCCGCAGGAGAGGATCGCAGCTGAAAAGAAAGCTTCATATTCTGAAGCTCCAAATGTTTGGGTTTCATGTGTACCTATCCGTAAGTATTCCTAATGTCCTTCACTATGAACACATTGAACAGCAGCGAGAAGTTGTACAGGCCACATTTTCCAGGTTTTCTATAATCCCTGATAATCCCCGGCGATTTTCTTTAAAGTTATTCTTCTTTCTTCGAAATTAACGAAAAGTTTCCAAAGTTGTGCAGATCAAAGCCGACGTGTTAGATAATCGGTTCAATCCTGAAGGATTTCGTTGATTTCAAAGAAAGAAAAATGACCATGAAGAGAAGCGCCGGGAATCATCAGGGATCATAAAAAAGAAATGCGGCTTGTACAGCTTCTCGCTGCTGTTCAATGTGTTTATAGTGAAGGAGAGTGGGAATACTTGCGGACAAGTAGACAGCGTGGATATCTGGAGCTTGAAAATATGAAGCCATAGTCTGAGCTGATCCCTCCCCAGCGGGGATGTTAATGCATGCGACCCCTAGTAAATAATTGATCCGCGACTTAGCAACTTAGCACTGAAAAAAGTATTGGCTAAACTTTAAAGGCACCGTCCACCCTAAGCTGAGGGTCTTGAGCTTTTGGAAGCATTTGATAGTAGAGCCCCCTATCAAATCAATGCCCAAGTCGCGGTGCAAAATGTCGCTTCGAAATAGCGAAGATGCATGAGGACCCCCAGACGACACCGCCCTCCCCATCCGTGTCCGCCCACCCATGCGCGCCCAGCCAAACACCGTTCCGGCAAGCCGACGTGCGGGTTCTCTGGAACGGGGATTGTTGGGCTTTTCACGGCTCTACTTCATATTCGGAATCAAGCATGAGAAGGCCCAGAACGATCAAAACACGAAAATCGTGATTCTGGGTGGACGGTGCCTCCAAGAACATTACGTAATTTTATCCCTAATATTGTGCCAATGTTGATGACCTTCTTGATGAAATGGATGGCATATTCGTTCATCACCACATGGAGAAATTCCACTAAATTGCGTTTTGATCAAATTTGCGGTTTTCACTCTTACATCATATCACGATCCTGCTGCAAGACAGTGGTAAAAAGTGAATAGAATAGCAGTTTCGTTATCTGCACCCAAAATGACTCACTCCATGTTTCGGCTAATTCCGTCACTTTCGGCCCACCTATCATAAGTCTACCGTAACATCACCACATGACACCGCAGTATGAAACAAAACACGCACCGAATAACCCGCCGGATCAAGTTTTGGTCAATTTCATGGTTTCCTCTTTTTACCGTAAGCCTGCCGCAACCTCGTCGAATGTCAGTGCAGTTGAAACGTAAACGATATTCCTGATTAGCGAATGAATAAATTTCTTGCGTCACCCAACATTACTAGTGTTTCTTTGATCAAACTTATACTTATCTATGGGTTTTACGGTAGACTAGAGCGCGCAGCAAAGTTAGACTTATCGGGAGCTGAGCTCGAGTTTTGCGGCGTAGTTTCTTGTGTAAAGTAATTTTTGCTACCTCTCCCTACTAGAAATAGACGTACGGAGTATCTTATCAGGTTTGTTCATACACACTTGTTAAGAAGCTTTCACAGGTGAGAGTTAGCTTAGGATTAGGTTAAACTGCGCGGTACAGTTGTGACAGTGGAATGTGAAAAATTTCGGCGAATTCGGCAAATTCGCCGATGTCGCCGATGTCGCCAACTTTGCGTCTTTTCGTCATAACTCCCTTCGTTCTCAATGGATTTCAAATTTGAAGGAAGATTTGGATTCAGCTCGCTGAACTGCTGTAATCGGCTCGGTCACGGAAAGTGCATGATAGGAATCCGTTGCATCCTGTGGTGGTGTTTTCTAGAGTGTGTATTTCGGCGCATAATGTAGGCAAAGGTTTAAGAAAAAGAGCGTTTGATGGAAGAGTTTCTGCTTAGTGTTTCCAGCAGAAAACCATATCCTTTTTTGTAGTGGAAAAAAGAGAAAGGAGTACGTGAACTTTGTAAATATACATGAACCACTTACCGTCAAACAAATATAACTATACAGTAACACTATGATTAGCAAAACAATTATAATCTCTGTAATCAGCATGTCTTGTTGCTTATGTGAGCAAAGTGATACGCCGCATGACTATGATATTCTGCTTCCAGCAAAACTTTACTTTTTTCTGCAGACGCCTCTTTGCAACGCTGTGGGCCAGCCCCTTTCACAATTTAAAAGATTCCGGCAAGGCGAATCGGAAAGAGTTGTTTCCGTAGATATTCCAGCGGTGAAAAGTAGACGGAGACATGCTCTATAAAGCGCGAAAAGAGATGGTGAATTGTGCAACAATCACGCGCCTCCAAATTCTACTCGCCATAACTTCCTCCGGAATAAGTATATTCTGAATCCGAAAACAGTGGTGTGCTCAGCTCATCAAGGCGAATCTTTTGGTGTACAGCATGTCCTTGATATCTCGATTGCAGTATTCTTGAACTTTTCTGCGGACGTCTCTTCGCGAAGGTGTAAAGCAGCGAGCATTGTTCCGAGTAGATTCCAGGGTACTTTTTGATAGTACTTTTTCTGCAGATTATGATGCGCTAAACAGTAGCCGCAATTTTCTTTTCAAAGGAAATAGATGAACTGGTGAATTGTGGAAAAATCCTGTCGTCCCAAATTCTACTCGCCATAGCCATAGAATATGTGATGCTTTCTTGCTAAGCAGATGTGATTATCGTAATCAGCAGGTCGGATAACCTCTATGAGCAAGTTTTCCGAAATGTTCGGGTTATTTCATTTTTTCTCGTTTTACGCTCTGGAAGTTCGCCGATGGATTTTGGTCAAAATGTTGATGCTCTTGAACTGTAAGGAAACTTCGCTTATAGAGGTTTTCGAACACGCTCTTTACGAAAATCGTGTCTCTGAGATTACAGTGTCTTTTTGGAGAGATACGGTGAGGTAACTGTAACTGCACCACGAAAGTGCGTAACTTTGCCCGCACTCCTCGCGTATCTCTCAGAAACCTTGCTTGCTTTCTTTTCTAAGAATTCGGGACGACAGGATTTTTCCACAATTCACCAGTTCATCTATTTCCTTTGAAAAGAAAATTGCGGCTACTGTTTAGCGCATCATAATCTGCAGAAAAAGTACTATCAAAAAGTCCCTGCTGGAATCTACTCGGAACAATGCTCGCTGCTTTACACCTTCGCGAAGAAACGTCCGCAGAAAAGTTCAAGAATACTGCAATCGAGATATCAAGGACATGCTGTACACCAAAAGATTCGCCTTGATGAGCTGACAAGAGAGCACAGCACCGTTTTCGGATTTGTGAGCACAGCACCGTTCTCGGATTCAGAATATACTTATTCCTGAGGAAGTTATGGCGAGTAGAATTTAGAGGCGCGTGATTATTGCAGAATTCACCATCTCTTTTCGCGCTTTGAAATACACACTCTAGAAAACACCACCACAGGATGCAACGGATTCCTACCATGCACTTTCCGCGACCGAGCCGATTACAGCAGTTCAATATATTTAAAGATTCGCCCCGGCGAGCTTAATCCAAATCTTCCTTCAAATTTGAAATCCATTGAGAACGAAGAGAGTTATGACGAAAAGACGCAAAGTCGGCGACATCGGCGACATCGGCGAATTCGGCGACATCGGCGAATTCGATAATATCGGCGAATTCGGCGAATTCGCCGAAACTTTTCACATTCCACTGTCACAACTGTATACGATTATCCGCATACAGTCTGCCCCAATCCCAACCATACCAAAATTGGCATGACTGGAGTTCGTGTCACGAAGGTATTGCGTCACGTCTACGGCTAGCTATCTGCTCTCTCTTCAATCTTTTCTTTCTCTGCGACAGCGCGCGTATGCATCGCAAATCCCTAGCGCTGCAAGCGCGCAAATTCAGCCGACGGTTCGGCCATTTTCCCATTGGGGGGGGGGGGGGGCGACTGTATCTTCATGCAAATGGGCGTATGCCGTATACGCCGCGCAATGTCACTCAACCCTCAGAGATGACGTTGAGTCAGCTCTAAGTTATGATGTGAATTGCGACAAGTTTACTGTCGTACAGATTATTTTGATAAGTCACCTATTCAGCGGCCTTCATGTAATAGTCGCAACACAAAAGCATAGCTTTCGTTCTTTTTTCATAAGTTGCTAAGCCGAAACGATTGAGTTCCAAATAAACTTGGTAATACAGTAATCTAATAATTTTCACGTCCTCAAGTTTCATGGGATTTCTCGTTGTAGGACTGCGTACGGGCGAAGGAAAAATGCGGCAGACAGCCTTACTACATCATATGATTATCGACTTCTTGAAAGATGTAATTTACCAGCATACATTATGTGAAACATTGAACTAGTGCAAACTTCGCAGAGTTATCTGCGGCAACGTTTGGCCTGGCGGATAATGTAGGGACCACGGTTGATGTTCTCTAAAAAAACAGATGCAACGCAATACGCTTCTTTGGGAAAAGTCAGTCTTATTCAAATATGGAGAGCGATTTTCCAGCTATCAATTCGGACATTTCAGCAGGTTCGATAACAACGGACACCTTACAATGTAAATATATGCACAACATGTTATATTCACACCACAACAATGTTCAAATCATATTCGTCCTTGTCTCCTATTGCATTGATGCAATAAAGGCATGATCGAAAACATCAGTTCTACGTTATCCCTCCAAAAAAGCAGCTGAACAATCATGCCATCGGCATTGCTGGTATGTGGAGATCTTTCTTCTCATTCAGTGGATATCAGTTCGGTTTAAGATGTTTGGATCTTAATTTTGAGAGTTTCAGCTGTTTGACATTTTGGACTAAAAAATTTCAAAGAAGAAAACCATATGCTAAAGTGCGCTTTTCAACCATATAAACACTCCTTCGAGGTTTCGGGTCTTGTTGGAAGAATCATCGTAAAAAGAACAATTGGTAATATTTGAAGGCAACGGTATAACGGCACTAGAATGAAGACCGGCGTCAATCTAGGAATGAAGTTCATGCCGAATATAAATTTTGAGCGGTTCACAATTATACGAGCTTTCAGGCAGAGCCCCTTTTCCGAATGTTATAGCAACAAAATTTTATTATCTGCTTCACGCTGCACTCGGTGCTGATCAAAAAGGGGGTGTTCTTTCAAATAGCAAATAGCAAAGTGTTTTTGGACTCAGTGAGATCCAGAAAACGTCGAAGGCTTTAATTTGTGCTACTAAAGTTATGAGATATTATAAGGTTTTTGAACAAAATTGTACCAATTAGAGCTTTTTAAGAAGCACGCTTTTTTGAACTGCTTTGGATTCAGTGTGTCAAATCTCTCAGACTTTGTAACTCAATTTTACCAAGATTTTTGACTGCGAAGGATTGCAGCTGTTCTGGAAAAAAAATTTTGGTTGTTTGTGTAATTATGAACAGCCAAGTTCGCAGTCGCTAAGTTCTTTTTTTTTAATGAGCATCGTTTTTCATTCTTATGCTGCAATGTGTTCGGCTAAGCTCGTTCAATAGCACTAATGGTTTATTAAGTAAGACCGAAAGTCTGCAAAACAAGGTGTGTACGGACAACTATGGACCGCACTTCATTTGCGTTCTGCTCTCGAGGCAGATCCTACCGCCGGCTTTTTACTTAAAGGCAGTGTCTAGGCTAAACCTAACCCCCTCCGATTAGTGTCGATCCTGAATGTAGGCCCCAGAAAAGGGGAATCTGCGTTGGTCCGGTCTTCTAACGTTGTCTCTGAATGGAGATAAGGGGCCTGAAAGTCCCTGGCTGGGCGGAGTCTGATATCAGACTATCAGTGTGCAGTGTGCAGCTTCTGCTCACTACCTTGTCAATACTTGACTCCCGACACGTATTGACAAGGTAGTGAGCAGAAGCTGCACACTGCACACTGCAATGCAACTGCACCCATGCAGTTGCAACTCTTTTCCGCTGGCCCGCCGACGGGGACGAGCAATTCAAAACTCGTCCGCTCCCTCAAGAATGGGTCCCCAAAAATCGGGTTTTTTGCGAATTTTAGAGAGTTTGAAGTTCGGAAATGTAATCAGGGCCACGGAAAGGCCCCAGAATGACAAAAGCATGGGGGGCCAAATTCTGGGTGGACGCTGCCTTTAAGCCCCTCTGGCGATTCTGATCGCATCAAGTTGTTATTACCGGCATTGAAGTCTTTATGACCCCTCTTAAAAGGAAATTTTATGCTTTTCCAGTGTCTTATAAACTCATCAATCTCAAATGTATTAGGTTGTAAAGAAAGTTTCCGGGCACTTTTGGAAATTTTATTTTCAAACGCATTTTTTCGGCCTCGGTCGGACTTTGACACCAAGTTTTTTATACTATTCAGTAGGGAGAAGCCTGAAGTTTTTGACAAGCCTTCTGACTTCTATCGATGCCAAAACGTGTTTGATCTGCACGTCAAGAAGAGAAATCTTTCCAACCACAAAAATTCCACAATTTTTCTTCCTACGGCCATTTTTTTGTGCAATTCAAAGAATTTCGTCCAAATCATGGGTGATTTGATTGAGAAGTCTGTTAACTTCTGATCCGCAGCTGCACTCGTGTTTTGCGATTTGCGCTCAGAAATTACAAGCTGTCGAACTTGCCTCTGACTGCGACTCTTTTCGCAGCTGGCGTCGTTTCTGCGGGGATCGCCACGCCTGGATAATAGGTCCAAAAGATGTGCAAGGCATTACCCCAACAATGTTCCCAGTAATCAGAGATTTGGTCCTTTCTGTGCAGAACTAGAAGCCTTCAAACTCACTTACTCGAAAAATGGTGCAATTTTAGGGGCAAAAAATGGCCGATTTTTCAAACGTTCTGGGAAAATTTTTTTTGCAGGTGCTCCTTCGAAAACATGAATGGTCCCCATAACACCTCCAGCAGACCTCTATATAATTACAGCATCTGGGCTCTCCAGCTCTCATCATGCCTGAGATAATCCTGCGCAAATAGGCCACTTTTCGCTACGACCTTTTTCCCTTCTGCGCATGCTGATGGGCCGCAGTGAGGTGCTGAAAAGCCAGCAAGACAAATGCATGTTGTGGACAAAATTATCTTTGCAATGAAATTTGTAGCTTCAGAAAAGAATCAACCTGCTTAAAGTTACAGCGATTTGAAAAAAAATTTTGCAACTGCCCGGGAACTTTCTTTACAACCTAATACATCTTCGATTGGAATTTCATAAATTTATCGCATACTGTAATAACATAATTACAAAACACGTCGTAATTAAAGTAATGGAATCAAAGGCGATTAAGAGCTCTTAGAACAATTTGTAAACTCATGTTTATCTAATACTAAGAGACTACTTTAAAATTATGCAATCTCCATAGAAGTGTTCACTACTCAGATTTGCACTTTCAATATTTTACCATTCGTGGGCATATCCCACGCAATACAAACCGCAAGATTCGTTAAAGCTTCGAAGACTTTGCAAGAAAGAGTGCTCCTTCGCTAATTTCCATGTAGTCGAAAAGATGCCCTTTGGTAGCAACATGTACACCGTTAGCTTGGATTCACAAAGATCGGATGTTCTAGCACAATTCTCGCATTGTGGAACTGCGCCGGAACTGTGCTGCCTGCGCTGCAGCCTCCCGATGCGGTTTTGAAGAATAGAAAAAGTTAATGAAGAATGGAAAAAATCGATTACCACTGAAACAGTAATATACATGTTTTTCCGATTTTTTTTTCATGATTGACTGCAGCATTTGGAAAGATCTAGAAATTTTTGAGACGTTGTGGAAGTCGGTTTGCTGCCAGGGCGCTGCACAGACGGTCTGGGGTCAAACTGGACTTTGTTTTTGAAGTTAGAAGCAACGGGGATATCGTTTTTTTAAGGTCCTGAGGCAGGCACCGAATAAAAAAACGACGAACATGTGGTTTTACGAGTTGAACGTGTTTTTTCGCAAGCGCGCGGATTTCAAACGCAAGACTCAAACAAACAAATGGCTTGTTTACAGCGCGCAGACAATCACATGGTTCTCAATTTTGGTTATGTGTATAGAATATTACTCCAAACTATGTTACGTAAAAAGTTCCAAAAATTTATGTGTCCTAATATCCGTTCCCCAATTTGTTGGTTTCTAGACCAAACCAAACCAACTGTGTTGGTTCGGAGCATAAATATCAAAAAGTTCAAATAAGTTTTGGAGCTTTTTGATTTGGACGATTAGAACGGTCAAAAACCTATCATACAGTAATGAAATCGAATCAAAGCATTGCCTCTTCTCTTTTCTTGAACCAAAAGTAGTGTCAATCTACGCGTTTTGATAGATATCGCGCTCCAATCATATGCAGTGTCCTTTGAACTATGTGGCGTAAAATGCATCGCCAGATTGTTGAGGCCACAGATTTGATTGGTCTGGGAGGTTTTCGATATTTTGAGCACTAAAATGGTACCATCCAATGACAGTGCCTTTAATTAACTCGAAATGTTTCCTTTTTTGCATTTTTGTTATATTAGGTACCTCGAATACGCTTTTTTATAGTTATTCTGGTTGCACAAGGGTTCCCTACTGACTTTTACGTCAAGAGTAATTTCCTAAATTTTCGCAAAGTCATGGGGGACTTCGTTTTTAAAATGCTCCAAACCAACGCGTGCCGGGCTCTGCTTGCTGCCACAAATTTTTCAAATTTTTTGAAATTTTTCTTCTAAGCGGCTTATTTCACAATGACGCAGTGTACTCGAAGTTTCTGCCGTCGAACTGTAGCAATGAAAAGGGAAATTCGATTTATCTGATCTTAGCGAAGCCAGCACTACAAAACAGTGTCTCTAAAGGCAGCGTATACCCAAAATTTTACCTTCGATGTTTTGGTCATTCTAGGTCCTTCCGTGCCCCTGATTATGACATTGAAACCCTCCAAAAGTCCCAAAATACCCCGATTCCCGGGGACCCTCTCTTCAAGAGGACGAGTTTCGAATTGCTCGACTCCGTCGGTATGCCAGCGAGGAGTAGCTGCAACTGCAGCGTATGCTGTCGTGGATTCGTCTTCTGAAGGAGGCTGACCGCAAAAAACAACTGCGGTTGTTGCTGCAGTTGCAGTTGCAGTTGCAACAGCAGTTGCAACTGCAACACTGCAGCTTACGCTGCCGTGGATTCGTCCGAAGGAGGCGGAGTGAAAGAAAAATCAGGCGGGTTTTCTCCGCTCAGAAGCAACATTGGAAGACCGGACCAACGCAGTCGGTCTTCTTTTGGGCCCTGTATATACACGGTATAGAGAACTGGGTATCTTAACTTTTGGGTGTACGCTGCCTTTAAAGGCAGCGTCCAGGCAGATTCGGACATTTTTAGATACTATCATAACCCGAGTACTAGGCCTCGATCTAGAACTATTGCGCAAACCCTACTTTTGAACAATCTCTAAACGGAGAAATCGGCGAAGACAGCGCCGAACCTCGAGGGCCACGCCCTCTCCTGTCAATGCTTGCTTTTGACAAGGATAAAATTAGGAGCACTCGTCCACTCTGCTCACTAAGTTGTCTTAGAAATGGGGGGTTTTTTTTTTGGAGAAAATCACGCATTTTCAGTGCCACGTTTGGAATTAGCACGGCCTAGATAAGGTAGAAATAGTAGTCAAGATTCTGCGCGGACGCTGCAACAACTGATAACACCGCATGTACATTTTACTCACTGGTTGTATTTCTCACGTCGCGCAATCTGGCTCAACCCTAAAGGGGCGGACATACTTCACGCGATTTCAGTCGCGACGCGATTTGGCAAATCGCCAGAAGTCTTCAGATCCAACCTGGCTAACTGCACATGCACAGTGTGTATAACTTGCACGGATTGATGAAATGCCTATATTCTATACATTTAAAACATGCTTACAATGAGTTATGGATAGTTGGAATATTATCAAATCGCGTCGCGACTGAAATCGCGCGAAGTATGCCCGACCCTTAAAGGCAGTGTCCCGGCAGATTTTGCATTCCCATCTTTTTGCATGTTTTGGGCCTCTTCGACCCGTAGACCCCGAATTTGAGCTTTAAAACGGATAAAAAGACCTTTTTTAGGGCCTTTACCCAATTTCCATAAGGCAGCTAGGACGAGAATTTCAATGGAAAGTTGGGAGACCCTGGCACGAAGACCCTGACACCTGTAACTTTTGCTTTGGATAGCATGCACAACGCGAGAGAGCGGTCGTGGGGTCCTGCGCCGAACGGTAGGCGAAGTCGTCGAGCGCGCGCCGATTGGGGTTGCGCGCGCGCCAGACTGCGCCTGGAGATCGCTGGGATGACCAGGAACCCCACTATAGCAATATACCGCCAGGAGCGAATCCGCCGGGACACTGCCTTTAAGGGGGAAGGAATTTGCCGCGTGCATGACGTGTTGAGACAAGTCATCAAGGCGGCTGATGCAGAATGTTGTGTCACAACGTTTGAGTAAGCTTCAATATCTTTGATCTTGCGGAACTTAAGAGGACCCTAATGCAGTTTTTCTGTTCTAAGAAAGATCATCAGGTTAGCGCTGATATCACTGGAAACAAGTTTTACAATATCATCAGACAATCGTTTTTGCCCTTAAAATCGGGACCTTTCCAGGTCATCGGTGTGGCGATTTTTTCCTACTCGATTGGACTTGAGCAAGAACTCGAGTCTGCGAAGGAGCAACTGGGTTCGTATATAAAGATTCCATCTCCAGGAATGACAGTGACAATTGCGGCTATGTTTCGTCCACCAACATCTATTCACCAAAAACTTTATTTTAGACACCATGCCAAGTTGGAAAAAAGAACCCGACAGAAAGTGCCCTGAAAATATGGAATGGACAGACCGCATGAACGAGGAGAAAAACTGCAACCTGCGGCCGCCGCCGGTCTCATAGATGTCATTTCTGCTATGAAATATCAAAGTATTTGCTTGCAGCCTATGATCGTTTCTCCGTACGTCCTAGTGTATAAACAAGGATGCCAGTGCAAGAATGGTTTTTATGAATCCAATGGAAGATGCGTTCCCGATTGTTCCAAAGGCACAGTCAACTTTATTACTTCAGTTTATACCGTTATCTCAAAGGCACCACCAACTTCCCATTTATAGGAAAAATAGTTGACGTACCCACTCTTCTTTAAGTAAGGTTTGCGAGACATGCAAAATAATGATGTTTCGTTACTGGCAATCAATACGTTGATAATGAGTATTTCGAATCGATTCCTTTATTCACTTTTGGATTCTACAGCTTGAACGGAGGAAAGCCAGAGTTGACAATATAAACTAAAATATTTTTTCTTCACAGTGCAGCAAATGACCATAGTGTGTATGCATTAGTTGAGATTCATGACATTTTTTAGGATATATCAAAATAATAAGCATGGGTAGAAGACGCGTTCACATATAAAGTAAGAGTACGGGAATGAATTTGCAGATGCTAAAAATGTCTACCATCTACCTAATTAACTACCAGTGACGGAGACACCGGCGGGGGGGGGGGGGAGGGAAGACGCCTCCCCCTGAATGGGTTGCTGAAATTTACTTACATGGGTTATAAAAATGTGCGAGTAACTTGCTTATTCTTGTAAACAATTAAGAGAATATTTGGAATTTAAAATTTCAAATTAATTTTGTAAAAAAATTTTCGGAGGGTAACTGCCGCCAGGCCCTCTTTTTCAGAATGGCGTTATAGTCCGCAAAAATTTTGATGAAGTACCCCAAAAAAATTTTCGGAGAGCAAGGCTAACGCCACGCACCATTTGAAATAAATTTTTGCCACGCTCCTCCCCCCGGACGGAAATTCTGCGGCCGCTACTGCTAACTACGTAACTCATCAGCGGGTAGTAGACATTCTAATCTGAAGATCTTCACTCTATTCTGGATCTCTTATTAACAAAGTATGTAAGGATAAGCTACAGCAATACATAGTGATGTTTACCCTGACCTTATGGAATTTTGATTGTAGAACGATGTCCGGTTCCCAACGCAATTCGATCCAACTGTACGGCAAGACCACATTGTCAGCCCTCTTGTTTCCAAGTAAGTTTAGACACATTTATCTGTTTCAGGTGGGAGGGAGAGGGGGAGCTAACATTGTTATATGCACAAAAAATATCTATCTTAGAAACCGGAGAACTCGTTATATATTTGCTACAAATCATGCATACCTTTCGAGTGTGAATGCAAAAATGGTTACATCCGCGTCGACAACTCCTGGGAAGGTAGCAAATGCATTTCTCTTGAAACTTGCAAGTAAGTTACTAACTTTCTCAGAAAAATTATTCTGTATTCAAATAATTTAGGAAACTGAAAACACAGTATGGTTCCACTCTACCACCCAACTTCAAACCATGAAATAAGAGTCGATAAATTCGTTTCTGCCAGCAATTGCATTGGACATGAACTTTTAAAATAAAACTTATTTTGGCATTTTATTGTTCCTGTATGGAGGAGCTTGTATATAGAACAGTTTGGAAAATTTGCAAATAAAGCTGCTAAATTTTATTTTCTCATTCAAATGATCATAATCCATTCCTATTGTCAGTTTAAAGATTTGTGCTTGCTGGGATGGCACAGAAAAAGTCGTCTTCCTGCAAAATGCAAAAGAAAGCCTTGAAATCTTTTGATTTATCAAATCAATATACCTTCTGCATCATTGGGAGTGGCGGGTGGTTAAGGAGGCTCTGGACTCTGCATCTCTTTCACGAGCGTGCTCTCTAATCATTTTTCAGGCGTAAATAGCGATCGAAGCTCCGCCCTCCACCCGCCAATCTCAATGAGAAAGAGTGTACAGCTTTGCACCCAGATATGCAGCATAGTTTCGCTTCCATAATCCATTCACTAGCTCTAATATATGCTCTGCAATCTAACACTCTATGTAAAAAATAATTGAGTGACTGTTTATTGAAGGAAGTAAAGGTTCAAGGATATTGCGCATGATAGATGAATTGAAGAGCGAAAGCAGACAGAAAAAATTGTGCTATGGCAAAAGATTGCACCGTTTTTTGCACTTGTTTACAATTTACTTAGCATGATGACACAGATATGATGTATCATTCCTCAATTCGTTTAATTATCCTTGTCTCTGTCCCACTTCTAGCCAGTTCCCCGCACCCACTATGCTTTCGTTATCAGCAGGCTCACCACTCCGTCTTAACTCCCACTTAGGCCAAACTTTGCAAAAAATCGTTTAAATAAATTAATGCCATGGGTGTTTTTTAGAATTAATGCTACTTTCGTTATCATCATGCTCACTTACCTCCTGTGCTTGCTTCCAGCCCCGTAGCTCAAAGAAATTGTTAAAGGTAATACTAAAATTTGTCATTGCATTCGCTCATCAGCATGCTCACTTACCCCGTCCTACCGTGACCCAAAGTTTGCAAAAAAAATCGGTTAAATCAATATCAATTTACAACAAAAACTAGCTCACGACATGATCGGTTTGGAAATAGAATTTTTTATTCCTAAAATAGAAATTTGAAATTCCTATTTTGAAAATAGACATACAGACATTCATATAGACATTTTTGTCAGTAAACGGCATTCCTTTGGAACCGAGCACTGTATTTGCAGCGCCAATCACGTTGCCATGTGGAACTTTCATGCCCCACATCTGGATCAAAATTGGTTAGAGAAACTTCTGATTTCTAGAATTAAAGAGAAGGTTGAATAGATCATTTTCCACCGATCTCATAGATAAGATAACGTACTTTTCTTTCTCTTTTCAGTCGTTCTTGAACTAATTTCTCTCGCACTTACGCAGATAAAATAAGCCCGTGTCTGATGAATGTGCAAATTTTTTTCAAGACTTGCATAAGTGGTTTGGTAATAGTCATTCAGAGCACTTTGCAGTGCCTTTTTTTATCCTCTCTACCTGAATTCTGAGTTTCCGAATGATTTTCTTCCCTAGTTCATCGTAGACTAGCAAATAGTTCAGTTCTTGGATGCATAATTCCTTTTACTTATTATCCTTCGTTATCTATGAAAGATCTATGCGGACAATCACCGGAGGCTGCTGTGGGTACAAGAAACACTTGGCCCAAACTTTCTGGTTCTCAGTTTTTTACTGGAAAGCCCAACAAATTTTCTGAATTTCTATGGCAAATCTCCCTAAAAATTGAAACACACTACTTGCTGGAGATAGGCGAAAAAAATGCAAAAGGTAGACTAAATAACGAAAAATTCAAAATTTGGGTCTGTCTTCTTAAAACCCTCGTTTATTTGCCGAGGTATGCATTTGCGATTTGATCATGCCAACGCCGGCCTCTATCATGATTTAGGTAAAAAACAACTTTGAGGTTAAAGGGTTCTCAATTTTCTAAAGAGAAAAAGAGTATGTAGAACTTATTTGCCACTCAGTATTAGGACTACAAAAGAATTAGGACAGCGGGTAAGAATTTGTGCGTGAGTGATTTGGGTGAGCGGTTTTTTCTCGCACTTCAGCTCTCATCAAGCCATGAGCTGTAAAAACTTATAAGTTTTTAAACAAAAAAGTAAATCGATAAGCAAGCTCGAATATGGAGGCTCGTGTAAATCAGGATTCAAACTCAGTGCTCGTTGCACTATAACCACGCTATATCGGTAATACTTGACCGATAGAACCTTGTGGAAAGACGGACGCATACGAAACGTAGCCAGTGCGTACGATAAGCTGGCATCGAATCCGCAACAGATGCCCAATAAAAAGAGAAATTATGGGCTGCCAATGGCTTGAATCAAAGGAGATTTTGAAGGTTTCTGGCTTCAGAAAATTCCACTCGAATTTTGAGCGCTTGTGTCGGTGAGCTCGCCAAATTCAACTGCAATCTTAACTTTCTATTTTACGCAAAAAGACTGGACCTGGGACATTTGGCAATGAAAGAATAGCAATTACTTCCGTTTGCGTGAAAAGAGAAATTTATGTAAAAAAGACATTATAAGCCTTTCCACGGAAAAAAGCTGGTACCTAATTTTTTCGAGCATTTTTTAGCTAAATAAGATTTCCTCTTTGATGAGGTGGTCGCTAAGTTCAGCGAGCACAATAACCAAAGCTCAAACTTTTCAAACGCCCGTCTCTTGTAAGGCTTCATAACATCGGCTGCAAATTCCTACCTCTTCGCACCAAACCTGATTTAGCTGTGTAGGTGTTGTTGTCTGCAAAATGTGAGTATGCACATAGCTAAACAAAGAGCTTTGAATATGATGTCGACCTACAGAATTTTTCTTCGCATTTTATACTGTATGAAGTGGATGAAGTGCCGAAAAACCGCATGAAACTGTCATCTAAATTGTCAACATCTAAATTGTCAACGATGCGCCTCGCAAATTGCGAAGGAAAAAACGGGTTTTTCTAAAAACCCTCCTTAAACATAGAAGTAGTGATGCGGAACTAGAAAGCAGTGTTTTCTTAATTGCAGATACCGTAACACGCTGAAAGGAAAAATCCATGAATGGGCGGAGGGTTGAAGCTTAAGTACGAAGTCTACTTTAGTAAATTCCCTCGTCCTATACTTTAGAAGCCGCTTGCATAGATACTACCAACAAATATTCTCTCATTTGAGTGGAGGTTAGTTTAGAAATTTCGACAAATTAATTTTGCTAGCAACTTGATACAATTATTCAAAAGATCTTATCTGGAACGACTACTCCCTTAGATGAGATGTCATGATTGAAATGTGTTATGGCTTTTGATATCTCGCAATTTCTACCTTCTTGCGCTTACCGATAGACCAATTTCCATTAAAAAAAGTACTGCATTGCTCTTTTTTGAAGAGGCCGTTTTTGAGATAGAATGTATGGTTAATTTTTATTTTTTCAGCCTTGACTGTGTCGTTTGCTATTTGGCAGCAATCTTGAAGGAGATCGTGTGGAAGCGATCACGGTTGTTAAGAAGAACATTATTTCGAGAATAACCATTGACTCGATCTGTTGTATTATCCCTTGGTCTTAAGTTCAAATATCAAGGGCAGCGGTCATTTTTTCGACCATTTCGGACTGCATCTATACAAGAAGGCTAAGGACGTGTAGCTGCCTAATATACGTTCTGTCATTTGCTTACCACACATCAGACGGAAGTTTATCATGGCATCAAAAATCCCTGTCGTTGCTGGTATCGAATTCACTTAAATACACCCTGTCTCAAACTAAGCACACACTTTTTAATCGATGATAAGTTGATAACTCTTTTCGCGTAATGTCTTCTGCTTGCAAGGCCCTACCGTTTCGTGTGGCAAGCATCAACTTCAACTTACATTAGATTTACGGTAAAGAGCAAACCATTAATGGCTCTTAATTGCTGTACGAAAGAAGGAATCTTGAGTATGGTTCTAGGACATCAATGGCTTCATGTCCCCTCAACAGATACTTAAAGGCAGCGTCCCACCAGACTACCTGGCCCTAATGATGTAATAATAGACCCCTTACCTAAGTGATGACTGAAGTTCGGAGCGAAAAGGGGGGTCTACCAAGCCTGAAATTTGCTCCGAAATTGGGCCGAGTCTTACGGTAGGCTCGGGCGAGTGCGAGGTGCATGCAAGGTAGAGACGCAGAGTGGTTGCGGGTCCTTGCGCTCATGTGTGCGCTATACGCACTCTGGCCCTACAAATTGATATTGCCGTGTGGGCGGCGTCCGGCCCTACCGTAAAATTCGGCCCACTTTCGGAGCAAATTTCAGGTTTGGTAGACCCGCTTTTTCGCTCCGAACTTCAGTCATCGCTTAGGTAGTTGGTCTATATCACATCATTACGAGAGCCAGATACCCACAATCTGGTGGGACACTGCCTTTAACAAGCTGAAATTTCTATCGTCAGCAAAACTGAGATGCTGACTGCGAAATTCGCGATTTTTTGGATCTTTCTTGAATGGTCCATATCACTACTGCTCTGTGTGCTGGAACTTCCTATCGTAATCCTACATCATTAAAAACCAACGGGTGATATACTATTCAATACGTAAATCTAAACTGAAGATTTCGCTAGTGAATAGTTGAAGCTAAGCAAAAGAGCTCAGTCACAACTCCCTTACCGCGAAGTCTTTTGCTTAGCTCTTTGAAGCTAAGCAAAAGCAAAAGACTTGACTGCAAAAGAAGACTGTATATATTTACAGCCTCGCAATTTACATTGATAAATCATTCGGCGATTTATCCATTTATTTGCACCTTGTGGTGCGCTGATAAAACAATCAGGCAACTGTGAATCAAACACAAGTACCCTTTCATTCACCGGGATTGGCGGCTAGAAGCGAACCCTTCGCACCCGCGACGCAGTCTGCATCTCCCTCACGAGCGCGATCTCCGATCATTCTCTAGCTTTAATTCGGCCTCAAAGCCCCGCCTTCCAGCCGCCAATCGCGTATACCCACTACTATAAGATCTTATGCTGTCCGGACACTCTGTGAAAATACACGATAATTGAGAAAATTCCCAGGTTACGTTTATTCCGCATTCGTGAGTCACAAATTCCGCTAGAGCGCTTACTCGGCACACTTTTTCATTTGGCATGACTATGTACATTTTATTCTACTGAGCTTCACTATTTTTGCGCTCAAAGGCAGCATCGAGGCAGAATCTCGACTACTCTTTTTTTTACCTTATCCAGGCCTCTTCATGGCGCTGATTTCAAATATGACACTTAAAATGCCTGTGAATTCCTCAAAAACCCCATTCTAACACGTCAAGAGCTGAGCAGGAAATGGTCAGAACCTCAGCCATACCAAACATGCTGCATATCTTCGGACTCTCGTCTTGAAACGCTGACCACAGATGTATGTTTATTATCTGCCAAGCAACGATCTGGGAGGAGTTATGAGCGTTTTAATGTGCGATTTGTCAAGTGTTCTGTGGCACATGTTCCACGAAGTAGTCTTCAAAAACAATTATTTGGGTTTTTGGTGGATGTGTTTCTTCCTTGTATTCAAAATAACCATAGCCATCGTAAATCCGCGTCATCAGGCTGCCTTTCAAGGACATATATCCGTCAGAACTCAGATTTCTCATATTTGTGCGCTTATAACTCCTCCCAGATAGTCGCTTGGCAGACAATAAACATATATACATGATCAGCGTTTCAAGACGCCGACGATATACAGCTTGTATGGAATGGCTGGGATAAGTTTTGACCATTTCCTAGTGAGGAGAGTTCGTTCAAGGGGGCGGACCGTTCGAGGGAGTGGGCGTGGTCCTCGAGGCTTTAACGAAGTCTCCTCAGCCCCTGACGTGTTTTCACATGGCAAACACTTGTAAAACATAGTGTCACATGTTAATGCTTGTCTCAGACAGGGATTGCATTAGAAGCACTCGTCCAGGCTTTTCACAGAATTTTCTCAAAAACGGGGTTTTTGAGGAATTCACGCATTTTGAGTGCCATATCTGGAACCAGCGCGAAGAAGCCTGAATAAGGCAAAGAAAAGAGAAGTCGAGATTTTGGCTGGACGCTGCCTTTGAGAAAATTTGCAAAGTAGACGCAAAAATGAGTAGCAGAAGTGCTGGACTAAACCACATTTCTTCTTGCACTATTAGTATCTGTTCTTTGTAGAATGTCAAAGTGCTTTCATAAAAAAACATGCACACACAATAACTCTTGAGATTATACACGTCACCCTTCAACGAAAAGAGTGATTGAATGCTTTGTTCAAACTTGTTTTTTTTCTACAGAAGTTTGCTCTCGCCATATATCATAACTTTCTTCTATTTTGGAAAAGTACCCTTCCATCTAGCTATAAGAAAGGAAAAAGTCAGTATTTTGCAAGTCCTCATTGGCTTTTGACACGTCGTAAGTGAGACGGGCAGAAGAAAAAAACTACACTAGCTTTGATTATTCAAAGCAGGCTTGCCACAATTTTAAAAAAAGCATTGTAAAACGGGAATCAGTAGCATTTGATACTCACTTTTGGTAGAATGTACCCCTTTTTGTTTCATGATACAGTCAACTAATCTTTGCCTGACAGTGTCTACTTGAAGCGTTTTCTTTTTGAAAACTGCATACATGATGTTGTTCTGGTCCTAACACGAAGATAACAAAAGCTATACCATGCGAGTGCATTAATTTAGGGGATCTCATAGCTTTTCGAGTATAGTAGCGACTTGACATACCATACGTTATAATGTAAATATATGCACATCATACATAGTATATGCACACCATACATTATGCACAAGATATTCGTCCCTGCTCCATCATACATATTCATTCAGTGACACTTGCATGGTTCAAATACATCTTTACATCATCTATTCAGGATCTCACATCATAACGTATATGCACACCACAGCATTATTAGCATTCACAAGGTATTCTTCCCTGCTCCATCATACATATTTATTCAATGAAACTTACATGGTTCAAATACATCTTTACATCATCTCAGGAAAGTAGCTGGTAAACATGCCATCGACATTGCTGGTATGTGGAGTTTTGCTTCTTAATGGGTGGATATCAAGTTGATCAAAAAATTTGGACCGTCTATTTTGAGAGTTCAAACAGCAGTGTTCAACACTTATCTTAGTTAGATTACTTGTTAGATGTCCTCTCCCGTCGTTCGGGTTCCAAATTTTTGCAATTCGTTACGGTTTCGTGCAGTCGTCATCCATGAACTCTCAGTGGGAGGTTGCGATTGCTACTGGATAACTTTGGTTTGGACCTGTCAATGTATATCATCTGCGTCAGCAGTTGGAGTCCAGAGTTTAGAAGGTCTTGGAATCCATTCCAACGTTTTTTTCGTCCATGTATCGTCTTCTCTTCTCATTAAATGACCTCCTATATTTGTTTTTCGATATATACTGCTGGGATCCTGCAGAAAAGAAAAAGTTGCCTCATGTCGGAGCTCCAAACTCCAGAAACTGTTTGAACTTGGTTAATTTCAGAGCTTCCTTTCAAGCGCTTTGTGTGCGTACGTAATACCTTCGCGGTTGCTGGGACATCAGCTCAGATTTTCAGCAGCATGACACAAAGCCGGGAGAAATGTAGCACTGAAAGGGCGCGTAGGGAGTTAGCCAGACTAAGTACGGCTTCCCCGAATGCTACCCGTGCTGATCTTTGTCTTCGGTTGAGTTCATCCTTTATGTCACTGTGCATATCGATGACGCATTCCAGGCAAACGTAAAATGAAGTTTCCTCTCTTGGTGATCGATCCGCGAATAACTGATTTTCACTGCACCAGATTCTTCTTGTGCACTACGTCTTCTCTAGGTTTATCCTGAGCCCTATCTCAAGCTTTCGTTCAAATCGTTTATCATCTCTTCGGATTTGCTAATGCACTTTGAGAGTAGGACTATACTATGTGGTCTACGTAAAGACATTCGAAAGATACTTTCCATCAGCGCGTGTTCTCTTCGCATCCCAATCGGACGACTGCATTAACACAGCTTTGCCGGCAAAGTATCTTCTTGTCGCACTCCCTTCTACAAAGAGGTGTGGAACTGGTGGTCGAACAACTATATCGTGGTCCATATCCTTTATTGCAGTCCGCTGTGGTCCTTATGTACGTTGAGTCCTAACTTGGTCGATGAAAACAAGTAAAACGGCTGATTTTTATTCTGTCGCAGGCCTTCTCGTAGTCCTACGAATGTGGAAAGGGACAGATGCTTCTCGACAGACCTCTGTTATCCTTGAGACGGTTGAGTGCGACCGACGAAGCTGTCCCCTACGTAATCGGCCTGCTCAGACGGTTGTGCTCCATCTCAGACAGTCGAAGTGATACCTGCTGCTGCTTGTGACGTCACCGTGACGTCACGGTGAACGAATGGGACCCCTCTCCGGGACGCGCACATCTCTGCTCCGGAGGTCCAGTTTTGGGAGAGCCCCGGAGCACCAAAATGGGTGAAATGGCAGGGCTCCGGAGCGCTCCAGAGCACGAAGTGGCAGACTCGCGCCATTTGCCCGCCGGAGGTATCCCTTCGACTGTCTGAGATCCAACCGATCCGATATCTTCGTAAACAGCCTATAAAGCACTAGCAAGCTTATCGGCAAGTAATTTTTGAGGTCTTTTTTCCCGCCTTTCTTGTAGGGAAGAATTATGCGAGGTGTTCTCCACGATCGAGTATCCTGCCTCTTCGATATCTTGTCATATGAGTGTCAAAGTGTGTAACTTGGTCTGCCTGCTTACAATACCGCTCACATTTTTTGAAAAAAAGACGCGAATGTATGGACATGTATGGACATGTGCGGACATGTCCGTACATGTATGGACATGTCCGTACATGTATGGACATGTCCACACATCAGCGTCGCGTGGCCATATCTCGCTTCAGAGTGGACGAATTCTGAATCCAAAACCACCATTCGATTCAGCTCTGCGCGGAGAATCTTCTGATATGTTGGAAGTGGGGGTACGATGTCTTCGATATTCTGTTTCCAGTTATTCAATTTGTTCTGCGGAGGTCCTTTCGCGAATATGTGAAGCAACGTGTACCCAACATAGAAGACTTTACTGAGTACTATTCGATAATATTGTTCTTGTAGATTATTGTGCGCTAAAAAATAGGCTCAGACTTCTTTCCAAAGGATATATAAGCGTTGGTGAATTTTGGAAAAATCACGCGTTCTTAAATTCTACTCGCCATAACTTCCTTCGGAATGTGTATATTTTGAATCCGAGAGCAGCACCTTGCTCAGCTCATCAAGGCGAATCTTACTATGTACAGCATGTCCTTGATATTTCGATTTCAGTATTCTTGAATCTTTCTGAGGACGTCTTTTCGCGAAGGTGTAAAGCAGCGAGCATTGTCCCGAGTAAATTCCAGCAAGGATTCCGATAGCACTTTTTCTGTAGATTCTGATGTGCTAAATATTAGCCGCAGGTTTCTTTTCAAAGAAAATAGAACGGCTGGTGAATTGTGGAAAAATCTTGTCTTCCCAAATTCTACTCGCCATAGCCGCAGGATACGAAGCTATCTTGCTAAGCAGATGTGAGTTTCGAAGTCAGCAGGTCGGATAACCTCTGTGAGCAAGTTTTCCGATATGTTCGGGTTATCCATTTTTTCTCGTTTTACACTCCAGAAGCTCGCCGATGGATTTTGGCCAAAATTTTGATGCTCCTGAATTGCAAGGAAACTTCGCTTATAGAGGTTTTCGAATACGCTCTTTACGAAAATCGTGGTCTTTGAGGATTACAGGGTCTTTTTGGAGAGATACGGTGAGGTGACTGTAACTTCATCACGAAAGTACGTAACTTTGGCCGCACTTCTCGCGTATCTGTCAGAAACCTTGCCTGCTTGCTTTTCTCAGTCAAAGTTACTAGGAACAGTGCTATCGAATGGTGCATTACTCAGGCTCCAGTCTGTGTAATTCGCCGAGTTACGAGCCTACGAAAACACGTCCTCATGAATTTTGCTCAAAATGTAAAGATCGCATATCTCGTCGAAATTCCTCCGTGAGCGCTTGTATGACGCTCGTTGCAGATATTATGTTCGCTTCGTCGAACGACTCCCACTGCACTGAATATGGTGCTTGCGTCTGCTTCAGCTGCTCAATTGAATATCAAAGCTATTTCGTGGTTGGAGCTCAAAGCACCAAATCTAACACAATAAGATCCATTAAAAATGTGGAAGGATTTGATCAGCGCGTTGTATTAGGTCACTCGGAAGGTTTTTTTCCTTTTTGCGCCTTTGATGTTGGTACCATATTTTAAGAGGGTGCCAGGGGGCTGATAAGGGTTGCCATATATGGACCTGTAGAGGAAGTCTTCTAGTTTCTGGGATCCCACCGAAATTGCAGAAGACGCTTTGTGGGGAAGTTTACGCGGCTCTAAATTCGACATACGAAAACGCGATTTTCGAATAATTGTATTCTCTAAGCTTAAATTTGGGCGTAAGACCGTTGAGGAAACCATCGTTGTGCGCAATGCATTTGCCAAGACCACGTCTTTCTTGAGGTAGGTTCAAGTTTACTTCAGAAAGTTCAGATCTAGGGAAGTGAAAGCTAATATTTTGCAGTGTTCTGGAAGGTGTTTCTGCCATATAAACGGGCATCTCAGAGGGTCCTTTGGAACAAATCGCAATTATAGCTGCGTAAAATTATCAGCAGGCCTGAAGTGTCATATAACCCTATTGAGAGCCACCTTCGCTAAAGCTGCAATACCGAAAAATTTCAGCGACGTGTACCCCAAATTGTCGCACTCGCAGATTGAGGGCGCGTTGACTCTGCTTTCGTCGCTCATAATTTTATGTAGCAATCCTTTTCCGGCCTGGGTTATTAATTACAGCAAAAAATTGGCCAAGTGCGGCTATAAGAAGCGACAATGTGGTAAATCATTTGAAATAAGCATTGAAAGCGTGACCAGAACAATCTGTCATTCCAAAGGGTTGATGCACTCAAATTAATGTAATCCTGCTGGTCTTATACGCTATAAACTTGCTAAAATGCGATTGTACTGTAAGAGCAGAGTAGTGTGATGTCGCTCTGGAGACTGTTTGTCAAAATTTCAGAACTGAGCAGATTTGCACGTATAAGCTATGAGAGATGCTATCCACGCCCATGACTCCGCCAAACCACATGTAAGAAAAGTGGCTCTCACAAAAGGGGTTGACTGCGCACCCAGGTTCCTGTTTATTTTTCAAACTCTGCAGACCTCTCTTTACCAGTTACCGAATTTTCCAATTCCTCGGTGCCTATTAAAAAATAATAGGACCTAATAGAGATTGACTAAGAACGCCTTTTTGAGGCTTTAGTGATTCCTCTGAGATTATTTTGCAAGAGAAAAGCACAAGAGCACTATAAGAGTGTAACCAGAAATTTGCTGAACACAATGCAGTTTATTTGATGGAAAAAGGCTGAATCAGGGAAAAATTGCGCTCGTTTGAATTTGGAGGTGCAAAAACGAAAAAACTTCCCGAATGACCTAATACAACGCGCTGATCAAATCCTTCCACATTTTTAATGGATCTTATTGTGTTAGATTTGGTGCTTTGAGCTCTAACCACGAAATAGCTTTGATATTCAATTGAGCAGCTGAAGCAGACGCAAGCACCATATTCAGTGCAGTGGGAGTCGTTCGACGAAGCGAACATAATATCTGCAACGAGCGTCATACAAGCGCTCACGGAGGAATTTCGACGAGATATGCGATCTTTACATTTTGGGCAAAATTCATGAGGACGTGTTTTCGTAGGCTCGTAACTAGGCGAATTACACAGACTGGAGCCTGAGTAATGCACCATTCGATAGCACTGTTCCTAGTAACTTTGACTGAGAAAAGCAAGCAGGCAAGGTTTCTGACAGATACGCGAGAAGTGCGGCCAAAGTTACGTACTTTCGTGATGAAGTTACAGTCACCTCACCGTATCTCTCCAAAAAGACCCTGTAATCCTCAAAGACCACGATTTTCGTAAAGAGCGTATTCGAAAACCTCTATAAGCGAAGTTTCCTTACAATTCAGGAGCATCAACATTTTGGCCACAATCCATCGGCGAGCTTCTGGAGTGTAAAACGAGAAAAAATGGATAACCCGAACATATCGGAAAACTTGCTCACAGAGGTTATCCGACCTGCTGACTTCGAAACTCACATCTGCTTAGCAAGATAGCTTCGTATCCTGCGGCTATGGCGAGTAGAATTTGGGAAGACAAGATTTTTCCACAATTCACCAGCCGTTCTATTTTCTTTGAAAAGAAACCTGCGGCTAATATTTAGCACATCAGAATCTACAGAAAAAGTGCTATCGGAATCCTTGCTGGAATTTACTCGGGACAATGCTCGCTGCTTTACACCTTCGCGAAAAGACGTCCTCAGAAAGATTCAAGAATACTGAAATCGAAATACCAAGGACATGCTGTACATAGTAAGATTCGCCTTGATGAGCTGAGCAAGGTGCTGCTCTCGGATTCAAAATATACACACTCCGAAGGAAGTTATGGCGAGTAGAATTTAAAAACGCGTGATTTTTCCAAAATTCACCAACGCTTATATATCCTTTGGAAAGAAGTCTGAGCCTATTTTTTAGCGCACAATAATCTACAAGAACAATATTATCGAATAGTACTCAGTAAAGTCTTCTATGTTGGGTACACGTTGCTTCACATATTCGCGAAAGGACCTCCGCAGAACAAATTGAATAACTGGAAACAGAATATCGAAGACATCGTACCCCCACTTCCAACATATCAGAAGATTCTCCGCGCAGAGCTGAATCGAATGGTGGTTTTGGATTCAGAATTCGTCCACTCTGAAGCGAGATATGGCCACGCGACGCTGATGTGTGGACATGTCCATACATGTATGGACATATGCGGACATGTACGGACATGTCCATACATGTACGGACATGTCCATACATGTACGGACATGTCCATACGTGTACGGACATGTCCGTACATGTCCATACATGTCCATACATGTCCATACATTCGCGTCTTTTTTTCAAAAAATGTGAGCGGTATTGTACAGTTAATTGGCTGTGATTTCGTCAGGAACAAGAGCTGTGTTCGTTATGCAGTCTACGGCCTTACTTCTGAAGAAAGGGTTTTTTTCGGCTGCTCTAGGGGGGATGGCGGGGTCTAGTACGGCTTAATGGATAGAAAGAGTGTTGTAGAAATTTCTCGTTATTGCTTCCATTTCGCGCTAGGAGTTCAGTAGCCTTCCATCCTTACTGATTGAGCTTGTGTAGATATCTCGTATACACGAAGGTACCAGCGACATTTCTTCGAACTTTTCCTGTTCCGTGCTACTACAAGAATCTTCATTTGTCGTATCCTTTCAAATCTTCTTGCAAAGCTTCTCTGCAAATGCTGTTAAACGGCACTTTCTCCATAAGCAGCGTACTTAATTCCGCGCGCAAATTTTGCTTTGAATTGGCTTCTTGCGGTTGTTCGTAAAACGTTTCCCACCTTTTTCTTTGAGACTAGTTGCTAGCATGGCTTGAAAAATTCAAGATGATTTTTCCTGAGCAGCATGGGTTTGTTAGCGGAGCATCGACAGTCACACAGCTGATTAACTGTATCCGTGAGATCAAAGCTATCTTGAATGGTCAAAAAGGGGATGTCACTTATTCTGCATTATCCAAAGCGTTTAATCATATAGGTCATTGCAAATTACCATATAGAGTTGAGGACTATGGCATCAGAGGCGCCCTTCTAGATTGGCTTACGTCTTACTTGCATTGTAGACCTATGACCGTTGGCATCAATGGAGGCTACTTTGGACGTTTTCCTTGCGCTAATGGGCTTCCATCTATACAGCCGATTAACTTAGGATGTTGAAAACCCGTCCCAATGTTACTATTTTTATGTATGGATGTTATCAAAATATATGGAAGATTCAATGCTAAATGCCTTTCGGCGACTTCGCTCGCTTTCCAGGTAGGAAGCAATGGATGGCATAACCATCTGGCAGTGGCGGACCGAGGGGGCGGGGGATGGTGCCTCCCCCCCCCCTAAGAATTGATCGCGAAATTTTTAAAACTTACTTACATGGGTTATAAAAATGTGCAGGTGACATTATCCTTGTAAAAAATTGAAATTATTCTTGAAATTAAAAAAAATTAGCCTCGTAAAAATATTTTCAGGAGCGTGGCATCACCCACGCACCATTTTTCAAGATTTTAGGGGTTATGGACAGGCAGAAATTCTGAGAAGCACCCCAAAAATGTTTGCCCCCTCCCGGTTTGAAATCCTGGGACCGCCGCTGCCATCTGAGTTTGCTTTAGCTGGGCACTCGCTAGTTTGGACAATGCTACACCAGACGAGTACCCCTGCGCCACATGAGCAGCAAACCATGAAGGGTAATACATTTGAAAAATACCATATGCTAATTACATAATCGCTGTCAAAGCATAATGTTTGTGTAGCATTCCACTGTCCACGCAAGCTGACTCTTATCACCTTCGCCATCAGTCTATCTATGCAATCAGGCGGTAACGGACATTACGACATGTTTTGTCCATGTTCAGTATGTATGTAATACTAATGTAATGTTTCTCTTCCCTATTGTTGGAACTTTAGAGGGGGAGGGGTGGAGCAAAACGAATGAAATAATTGATATCATCTTCTCTTCACAGTAGAGGGGGCAGAGCTTTGGCGATGTTCGCCAACCTCCTCAACCAACCAACCAACTTGGCAGTTTGATGGCTAGAGAGTACAAAAACTGATGCTTTGTAGTGGAGGTTTAGCAAGTTTTTCAATTTCAGAGTCTGCGGGGCCACGCTTGTTATACGTTTGGGAATCTCATCTACGTTCCCGGCAAGAGATATTTTATTGAACACGCCTGAATGTCACCGCGCATTTCTGCACTTCAGCAGGGTGGTTTTTCATAAAACAACAGTCGTTGAAGTGCGCCACGATCGGAAAGCCCCGCCCAACGAGGATGGCTGCTTCATACTGATTTGAAACTACGAGACAGTTCCAGCACAACGCTCGAACTGAGTGCTTTTTTCAGTTCCCAAGTTTTGGGATCAGTAAGAACGCAACCTTAGAGTGCGTATCTCGCACACAGTCAAGACGTACGGTCTGCCTCAGTCCTAATCAGGCCAAATTTGGCATAGCGGGAGTCCGCGTCGCTAGGATTTTCCGTCACGCCTATCTGTGTATGCCCTTCCTTCAATCTCTTCGCTCTGTCCGACAGTAGGCATACGCAGCGCGAACGCCCAGCGCTGCGAGCTCGCAATTTATCCTAACGGTTTGGCTTGATCACGATTGGGACAGACTGTGCTGAATCCGAAAATGCACATTGGAGAGCGCGAAAACGGCGAAAAAAGGTCCTAGCGCAGGAGCGAAATCAGCGGGTGGGCGGGGTCCTCCCACTGTGATTCATGCTCCCAGCTTCCGAAGCGATCTACTCACTTCCGATTTCAAGTCAGCCATTCGCACTTGGCCGGTAGCCATGTTAGGACGGCTAGCGGAATCGAGAAGACCGCTCCGGAAGCTGGGAGCGTGAATTCACAGCCAGCGGGAGGGGCCCTTTTTTCATTTTCGCACTTTCCAATATGGATTTTCGGATCCAGAATGGCGAATAGGTTCGTATAAGCACAAATCTTAAAATCGAGTTTTTGCCCGGAGACATCGCCTACAATCACGATTTTATTACAGTCTTGAGCGTAATCTTTGCAAGAAAGATTTGGTATGCCACGACTTTACAAAACCCCAAAATCTCCGGAACAAAGCAGCTCGATCTGCATTCCTACAATTATTGCCTGGCTTGTTCAGCACTTTTGAATCTTGCAGCAATCACCGCGCACCTACGAGAAGAAAGATAGTTTTACATGTTTTACGCCGTTTCCTCCCTTTCCTTAGGCTTGCAATCTAGACCCTCTCCGGGACAAGCGCTTATCGCACAAAAATCACTTATGCACATTTCAGCTTTGAAATGTTCATTATTATCGATGCGCTTTTGATAACAGTTAGAAAGAGTACTGAAACGGAAAATTCGTTTTTATGGGTACAATAATGGTCTTTGCAGGTCATCGCTATAGCAGTCTTTGACTACTCGAATGGACATGATCAAAAACTCACGTTGGAGCAACTCGGTTTGTATACAAAACATCTACAGCAGTGACTGAAATAGTTTTTTAAAGCGATATTTCATTAGCGAACTTCCAATGGGCTGATCGGAAATTAATAGAGCAAATTTTTTTTTTACATTTCTTGTTTTTTTTTGAATAAGCAGGTTGCAACTCAGACTCCACTTACATAAGCACCTTCCGCATCATTCTGATAACGCGCTACTGCTCCTTTCTGCTCTTGGCGTGGCTCCTCGAAGAACAATAATGATCTTCGCAATAATGATCCTCGAAGAACTCGAACAGGATTATTCAAACGCCTTCAGTCTTGCGCTGCTATACGTGCAGTCATGATGCAAAAGATGCCATTCGAAAGAGCTCTTCAAGCTCTTTTGAATGGTATATCGAGCATTCGAAAGTTCTTTTTGTTTTTAGGTGGAAAGGCAAACGAATCTTGAAAATCTGCGATTCTTTGGCGAAATAAAAGCCCAAAAAATCGTGCTCTAGCTCATATGCTCCGAAGACATATGGAAGTTGACGTAAGCGCATATGGATGGATAGAGCGTAAAGAGCTCTATCCGATGGTAAACAGAAAACTTGTGTTTACTTGCAAAGAAATAAATTATAAGTATCTCCGTTCTTGAAACGGCCAATGATCATACGTCCTGACTCCAACCGCTGACATCAACGGACTATCTTAGATTGATGATTGCATGTTCTATCATCTCTTAAAATTAGAGTATTCAACCATTCTCTTTTCTTAAGAAATCTGCAGAATTCTCCAAGTATCCCAGTACTTTCCGACCACCCTTGATATTTTCGTAGGAGTCTGTTCTAGATAATATGACTAATAGACAAGGGAAAAGTTGCCCGGAAAATATGGAATGGACATTCTGCTTGCAGTTTGGACCCACCTGCAACAATCATCTGCGACCGGTGCTTGCAAAGAATATAAGTTTCTTTTAAGTAATCCTGTTTGCAGCATAGGTGGCTTGCAATGTGTAGAGCTGGATGTCAATGCAAAGATGGGTTTTATGAATCTTATGGAAGATGCGTCTCTGATTGTTCTAAAGGCAAAGTCATTTCGTTTTTGAAGTCAAATCAAACTTTGAGTTTAGCCTAGTGAGTTTGACATATATTAGGTGGGTGCAAAAGTTCGTTCAGTTTTCAAAAGATAATAACGTCCTTTCGACTTGATGGATCTCCTCCATTTTATATTTATTTGAAAAAGGAATCCATTCTCTTTACGCGCTTTGCAATGGATTGGTGAGAAAGTTTGAGAGCTAAAAGCAAGTAAATGAAATAAGTCAAGATTTTCATTATTCAAGCAGGGTCACGAAAAGTTCTGGAAGTATTTTTGTTTGATAGAGAAAATTTTGCTTTTTCCTACAGCACCTTTTCCAAGAATCAAAACGAAAAAGATCCAGAATTAGAAGTAAATAAAGAAAAATACTTCAGTTTTGGTATTTTTGAGCATGCTCAAAAGGGCCTGAAAATGTCACAGCAGAAACCGAAACAGTCATAAACATGGGTATAAACTCTTCTTTCTAGCTGAGCAAGTTTCGAGCTAATCGAGAGCAACTTTTTTTGTGATTTTTTCGGATCTTCGGGTCTGTGTTTCTCACGAAAATCAAAATTGCTCTTGTTTGGCACGAAACGCGCTCAGGTAGAAAGAGATCGTAAAACACATATTTATGACTGTTTCGGTTTCTGCTGTGACATTGTGCCCTTTTGAGCATGTTAAAAATACCGAAACTGAAGTATTTTTGTTTATTTGCTTCTAACTCTGGATCTTTTTCGTTTTGATTCTTGGAAAAGGTGCCGTAGGAGAAAGCAGAATTTTCTCTATCAAAAAAATACTTTTAAAATTTTTTGCGACCCTGCTTGAAAAATGCGAATTTTGAGTAGTTTCATCTTAAGTCCATCTCTCGAACTTTCTCATGCCAATTCATGGCAAAGGTACTGCTGTAAAGAGAATGATTTCCTCTTTCAAAAGGATAGAAAATTTGAATAAATCCATCAATTAGAAGGAAAGTTATGATTTTTTGAAAAAATGGCGAACGAACTTTTGTACCCACCTAATATATACTACTGTGAAAGATTGTCATAATACCGCATCCTGCTTGCGAAAATGTGCGTATAAAATTCAATTTTAGAAAAATGTCCTGGTCCCAATGAGATTCGATCCAATTGTACCGCATGGCCGCTATGTCAGCCGAACTGCTTTATTAGAGTGGGTTTGAACAACTTATTTGCTCTAATTCCTTTTACAGTTCCGCATAGTAAGTATGATAAAAAAATTTTCAGAAGGAAACAAAAAACATTTCCAATAATTGTGAGGAATCATGCTTACCTACCGAATGTGAATGCGAGAAAGGTTACATTCGCGTATACGATGGATGGGGAATGTACAAATGCATCTCTCTTCCAACCTGCGAGTGAGTCACTAGCTTTGGTGTAGAAACCACCCTTTACCAAATTTGTTCAGAAAACTGAAAAAGCAGTATGGTTCCGCTCTACCATCCGACTTCAAGCTCAAAGAGTAAGGCTCGTGGAATTCGTTTCTGCCAAGAATAGCTCAGCAGAGTCAACTTCGGAAATAAAGCTTATTTTTCTCCATTCCTTTTTCTATATAGAAAAAACCTTTATAGAAACCATTTTCTTACTGAAGCTTTTAAAATGTTATTCACTTGTTTGTGAGTTTACTTGTACTACTTACCCTCAGTGACAAATGAAACTCTGGCTTGAAGCCACATGAATTGGCCGGCGATACAAGTGTTCTCTTAGGCCCCGGTCAGACTTCACGCAACTTAATCGTCGCGATCTAATCGCCAAGATTTCCATTCATTTTCATTTCACATCCAAAAATTTCGGTCTGGAAAAGTATCACAACCGAATGCAAGTTGATCGGCATGGAATGATGTGTAACAGTTGTCTCGTCGCAATTCAGTCGCGACGATCAAATCGCGTGAAGTCTGCCCGGGGCCTTACACTCATTGGTTTGACAGACTGCAAGGAGTAGACGTCTGTGTGGTTCTATTGTCAGACCAGAGGCAACTTAGTTTCCTTTTTATGTTTATCTCATAATGCTGCGTAATGAACTCTAAAAAACTTAAATTGACTTCGTAGTGTTTGTTTGAATAATTAAGCAAAAGTTTAAAGTTTCACTGATAAGCGTGGCACATAAATAGAAGCTCGAATATATAATAGACGCCATCTGCCTAATCATCTTGCTGTGCCATGTGTCAGTGCGCAAATATTCGAAATCCCAGATGAGGCCAGTGGATTCGCTTGTTTTTTGCGTTTTATTTTTTTTTGTTACCAGTTCCTGTAGCGGCTATTTTTCGTTGATTCTTCAACTCGTTTTTGCGTTGATATCCTCAGAGTTTTTCTTACCCTATTTTCAGGTATATGAGCCACGGGAAAAATTTTTCAAACTAGACTAGATCAAGCACGATAAAAAACCTCGCGATCAAATGACATACCGTGCTGCGTATTGCCGTATTGCCTGAAGGAATCGCGCTGCATAATGATCGCTTTCCGAAACACAGTGAAGCGAGTGAGCAGCGCGCTTGGAAAGCCGAAAAAGGTGCGGCTTACATACCTGAAAATAGGGCACTACTCTCAGAAAAGTGAGGAATACGCGCAGTCCAACAGGATTTGTTGGCGTGCTCATCTTACAGTGTAAGCACTTCATGCATAACTAGTAGTAGTCCTCAGGTGAGGGTTAAAGGTTAGACTTCTGGTTTTCATTTCAGTCGACATTATTACACTCTGACGATTTGTGAGCTCATCTTAGTCAGTCAATAAAAAGCTCTGAAGTAGAGCTTATAAGGGGACTACTTCTACTCAATATGAGCACAGAGTGCTTGAAATGCAAAGATACAAATTTAGCGTCAGCCCTTGGATTCAACCACTACAGAGTCGGACCCACTGTCCTCACCATGGATTTTAAATTCTTGTGCACTGACACAGCACCTGGGTGACTAGGCAGATTACGTCTACCATAGACACAACACTATGCTGGAGCAAAAGCTTGCACCATTTCTTGTATTAGGCTCGTCCGAAAGTTTTGCTAGTTTTTCTCCATCGGCAAAGGCGCTAGAATGAAAATAAAAAAACGCTCCAAAATGTTTTAATGCAGGATTTCCTACTCTTTCCAGCTGCTAGTCCCATTGTGTTTCGTTGTGAGATTGACGAAATATTTGCTGGAAATTGTGTTTGGTGCAATAACAGGTTTTTCCAAAACACAAGACTTTTAGAAGATTATTTAGCCAAAATCTGAAAAAGCAGCTGAAAAGAAGAAAAAATTGCTTTTGTTGGCAAAAGGTTTGTCTTATCTGCTGGTTATTAGGGCTCCTCCGAAGGTCTCATACAAAAATTTCAAAAATTAGCGAAATTTGGGCGTAATAAAAGCAAGTGGTTGTAATTTCTGGCAAACATCTCGTCATTTTCGCAATGAAACACAATGGGAGTTTAGCAGCTGGAATGAGGAAAAAATTTTCCATTCGATACATTTTGAAGCGTTTGTTTATTTTTAATTTAGCATGTTTGCCGATGGATTGAAAAAACTGACAAAACTTTCGGACAACCTAATATTTACTCGCGACTTAGATGATGATAGCTAAAATCAAACTTTATATTACAGAGCTTTTCTTTCACTTACCAACTACATCAAACAAATTCCTTTTCTTTTCAAAGTCGAATTTTCAGCTGTTTGTATTTATTGTGCTCAACTTTAGCTATTTTTTTACTTCGAACTTGCGGTTCGATGACAGATAAAACTAAGGTTTTGCAATGCATTCCATCTTGCGTTTTTTCAACCGGCTTTCAAAGAATTTTTCGAACGTGGAAGCTTCAGAATTGGTTCATTGCACTGCACCGACTTCAGCAAAACATTTTAAGTCTCAAGATGCATAATAATATTTCTCCTTCTTAAGTTGACTTCTTCGCTCTCTATGAAAGATAGAGATGATTGTTAGAATCTCTACAGAGTGCATGCTAGCATGATTCCGAAATTTGTTAATTCGAGGCAATGTAAGCTAGTAAGTGTGTAGCACTAGTTTACGGAAGGACTAAAATTTTCAAATCAAAAGTTTGATGTGGCTTTGATCTGCTATCTTTTTGAAGGTTTCAAAGAAGAACGATGTAAACAACCAATAAAAAAATTTCGAGAGAAGATTCGCTTCGTAAGAAAATTTGCTTTATCTGCCTGCTCTTTGTTTTAGGAATTTTTGATTGAATTTTGAAAATAGGCCGAGATAAGACAAAGTAAAAATGATGTATTGAAATTTGGCGGTCAAAAACATGACTACAAGTGTTATCAATCTCTGCAATGTTGAAAAGAGGAAAAAATGTTGTGTCTATTATGTTTGAATTGTATTGAATTTAAAATATAAATAAAATATAAATTTTTTGAATCGTAAACTGCCTACCGAGGCCTCTGAATGCCGATTTAATAAGTCTTTCCTGGAGCTCAGAATGAACGGAAAATCTTGGAAAAACTAACTGTTTAATCCCTCCAGTGCTCAAATGCAGCAGTTTTGAGTTTATTTATTGCAAAATAACAATTCTTTATAATTCTTATATTCAAAACTGAATTATTCAATCAATGCTGGACGGCTCTTTTAAGTTGCGATTTCTTCTATACCCAAAAAAACGCTCATAAGCTCTCGGCAAACATGAAAACACATCTGGATTCAGTGTTTAGAGCTCTTTAGAAAACATAGAATTCATACTCGATTAATGATAAACCTTGGCACCTTATCCGGATAATATAGTTTTGAGCTGTCGACCAAGCTTGGCAGCAAGACTTTACTATCAATTTAAGTCAACTTTTCGGCGGTGCGTCCGCCTTCTCTGGAGCCTCCGGGAAGGATGAGGCTTTGAGTTCTGCCTGCTCAAACGCCTTGTTTGACAATATAACCAGTCTAGCTATCGATGAAGCGGCAGTAGATGTTGAAAGCCTGACCTCGGCCTTGCCAGATTGGAATATAGAAAGCGAAAAATCGGTGCTGCGCTGCAGTTGCGCTTTGAGCGCTTGTCTTGCAATTCATTCCGCTGATCAGGGCACTAACACAAGCAAATATTATATGGATTAGCGATGGGGCAAGATCGAATCCGGTCGATGCAACTGCCTCTATGTCAAATCGAAAAAACAGGTACTTGCTCGTAAGTCATTGCTCTTTAATCGATATATTGATGACTGCTGCTTCATAGTTCAGCACAAAACGAAATAACCATATGCTTTGACATTCTGAATAGCCAACACCCTAACATAAGATCCACGCTATAAAAATCCGATGCATATATGCTAGTATTCGTAGACGCATTCGAGCGTATGACAGAATGTGCACGAACGCCAATTTGTGTCATCTGCCCTTCTGGAAAGCAAAGCGACTGCATGGAGTTGGAGTTGGGAGTAGTTTATCTTATAAGCTGTCATGAATGCGGTAACTAGTATATAGGAGTAATCGGCACGCTATTATGCACATGACTTATAGGGCATCCTGAAGGCCTTCAGGATGCCCTATAAGTCATGCCCTGATCAGCGGAATGTATTGCAAGACAAGCGCTCAAAGCGCAGCTGCAGCGGAGCACCGGTTCGCTTTCTATATTCCGATCTGGCAAGGCCGAGGTCAGGCTTTCAACATCTACTGCCGCTTCATCGATAGCTAGACTGGTTATATTGTCAAACAAGGCGTTTGAGCGGGCAAAACTCAAAGCCTCATCCTTCCCGGAGGCTCCAGAGAAGGCGGACGCACCGCCGAAAAGTTGACTTAAATTGATAGTAAAGTCTTGCTGCCAAGCTTGGTCGACAGCTCAAAACTATATTATCCGGATTAGGTTGATTCATAATCAATGCACGTTTTTTTCATCTTTTCTTCCAGGAGCTGGTATTTGATGTGTAATCAATTTCCTCAAAAACTTTTTGAGCTTCTAGAAGAGCGTTTCTTCTGGTTGCTTATGCATCCCTTCGCTTTCGTAAATACCCGTTCATTCCAAAGTTCTGAGCCTTCAAATGAAAGAGACTAAATCCCAAAATTTCTGCTTTTCACTTTTTTGACCTAAATCCATTAGGAATAGCCGGATTAATTTCAAAAAATATGCATAAGGATTAGAAAACTTTGTGCTACAAGATGCTATTTGAACAGAATTCTCCATGAATTCTGAGCCGAGAAATTCAAATGCGAACTTGAATGATCGTCGCGGCCCTTCCGTGCCATAAACTTTGAAGCAAAAAGCGATTGCAGGTCTTTTGCACTATCCAGCAAGGGTATACCTAGTTCATTTGATGGTAGAAAAGCGCTAGGATTTTCTCACTTTCTAGCGGAGAAAAACGAAATAATTCAAAAAATGACCGAGTTTTGAACCCGCCAAGATGCCAGAAAAAAAGTGAGTGCTTTCGTCGACTTTTTCGCGATATTTTCTTTCAAAAAATTTCCGCTAAATCCAACCTTGGCCTTACTGCTCAAGAGACTCTTGGCTACACGAAGAGCGAAGTCTGCTTTGTCCTACTTCATTTCAACATAAGTTATGCTCTCTCAAAGTGGAGGCTTCTGAAAAAAGTTGTTGGCAATTTTTAGGCCAAAAAATCTTTCTAGTGATAGATACAGTCACGCAAAAGTATCTATTCTATAGTCACTAATTTGGTAGTTACAGTAGATTTTATTGCTCCCGAATATGTCTCTTCAAGAAAGAATTATCTCGGTTGAAAGCTGAGTATAGAAAACGTGCATAAATTATGAATCAACCTATTATTTTCAGGTTATCGCTATAGCAA